CCCCCCCCCCCCCCCCCCCCGGGGGGTCCCCTATGGGTAGTACGAATGATAAGGTGAAACATTGAAGACCTGGAACTAACTAATCTGGCCTATCCCTTTTTATGTAATTCTGATTTTATTTTGTCTTCTTTTGCACTTCTGTTTGTCTGAAAATGATACTTTCGCTTCGCACTTTCGGCTTTCGGTTTTCCAGGTTTGGTTTCTTATTTTACTTTCCTTTGCTCCTACATAGTACATTAACTGATTCATCATTCCAGTGCTCCCTGAGAAAACTTTATCAATTTTATGGAGGGCATGGGTGGCATCACAGCTGTCTTGAATAACCGTGCTAAAAATAATAGAGTTTCTCCGTATTATTTATCAGGATTTTTTGCAGCTTTGTTTCAATTTCATTTTCCACCTAAACGCAGCTTCCAATTAGGGGTAGAAAGCATGTGGCATAAGGGAACTAAACATTCTGCAGAAAGAAGTGCGAAGGCTTTTAGAAAATATTATACCTGGCTTGCTAACTTTTTTAATGTTCGGTTTGAAAACTTTCTTTAAAAAATTTCAAATTTTTCAGAAATTCTTCAAATTTTTTGAAACAGTTTTTCAAGTGTTTTTCAGGTGCACAGAAAGGCTATGAATCCTTTAGATCCATTTCATAAGAGTTAAAACTCACAAGCTTTTATGAGCTGTAAGCAACATTTGTTAATTGCTATCCTCGAAGGACAAAGCCGATTAACCTTTTTCTATTTGTGGATAGACAAGTTTAAATTTTAAGTACTCAAATTACCTTCTGCTCAAAGAAAGTTTCAGTTTCTGCCATTTCAAGAAGTGAATTCAGTCGTATAATTTTCAACTGTACATTTTTTTTTTTTTTTTTTTTTTTTTTTTTTTTTTTTTGAGATAAGCATTTATCAGCTGTTCTAAAATTGCAGTTATTGCTCTTCACCTCTAACTTCACCAATTTAGTTTTTGTTCCTTACAAGAAACGAGAAATTATTGTTTTCACGATATAATTCCTTTTAATGTTTTCTGCAAGAGCCTAATTACTCATTTGTCTATTTTTCAGCTGTAGCGGGTCCCGAACAAGCTTCTTTAGACTGGCTTAGACTAAACCACGAGCCGTTGGACGCTGTTGAGAAACACTGGATTTTGACCCATCAATTTCGATTTAATGCTTTGCTCAACGACTCTAACACCTTAGTTCACGACTATTACGAACAATATCCGTTTCTCCGCGTTCCTGAAAATGGGATTCGACTGGTATGTAAAGCTAATTTGTAAGTTTTTATTTGATGAACCTTACAATACGGAGTCCCTTGTGTTGTCGAACCTAACCTAACCTATAACATACAGTGGTTCTCAGCAAAATTTTTTCTCAAATTTCTAAGGAAAAATCGTTTTATTTAGCAACCTTGTACCAGAGATTTAGCAAGAACACTCTGAAACCTGCCGTTGTTCATTATGCCAAACTGAAAAAAACTGCTTTCTTTGAGATTATTCCTTGGAGAAACGTGTTCTTGAAACGATGCCATCCTTTGAGTGGTGTGACTTATACTGAAATGGTTTAACAAACATCAAAAGCATTTTTATTGAGCTCTCAATAACGATATTTGATCATCTCTGACACCAAGACATCTTTCAGACTATACAGGGTATTCCAGGCCACCCATCCACTCTCTTTATCTCAAAAACCCCTTCTAAGTTTTCGTGTACCCTATCAGAATAATTCTAGCTTCCGAAAATCGGTCAAATAAGTAGCACACAGCAGTAGGTTGAAAATGCCCCCAAAATTACTGCCACCCCCCCCCCTTCCTCAAAAAAGGGGCCTCCAAAAAATTTGTATGGGACTACATTGTTTTATTTTAATGCTCTTTCCGAATTCGGAGTCAACACATACCCCTTAGCATTTGAAAAGTGCGAGATATGAAGGGACCCCCCCTCCGGAACACCTACCTTAGAGGAGGTTCTTGGGGCTGAAAATATCATCATTGAATTCCGTGAGGTCTATTTAAGTGGGTAACCTTAGTCTCAAAACTCTGTGTAAAGCCATTTTTGACGTAAAGATAGTGGAAAGGTGGTGTGAAACGCCCTCTAAAACTCTGTTATTGAGAAGCCATTTACTCACAACCTGATCGACTCGCACGTTTACCAGTCATCTTTTCCTGCTTCCATTTATGTGAGATTGATGGATCATTTATTCCTACAGATTGAACGGGACTTCAAATTACTATACCCACAAGCAGAGAATAACTTCATCGACTTCTGGGGTGAAGTCGCAGAAAAAATCTTGATTCTTGCCAAAGCAAAATATGAAAAGGAGGAAAAGTTCAGGACGCATTCATCCCAAGCACTAATCAGTGAAACTGATTTGCATGTCAAAGGTATGAAATGATTTGATGCTTTCATAGATGTTATACTTACAGGGCGTCTTTTAAAAAATGAGTCACCTGGAATATATTAGGAGTACGTAAGTACCTATTATGAAAATTGTAAAAGACAAGTTACTTTAATTGGTAGGGCGGATAAGCATAACAATCGTGCATTACTGGAAGAAAGCATGAAACTTTCAGGATATCATCTTTACCTATAGAAGGTTTAATTTCTCAAGTGAGCCCAAAATTCTGAGGCCATGTGGGGGGGGGGGGGGGCCTGATTTAGCTATGTTTTGCAGAATTTTCGTGTTGAATCATTGTTATAACGCCGTTAACAATGTGAAATGTAATCAAAACTTGTGTAAACGTCTCATGTCACGTGTAACGTTGTGTTGTGTCTCATTTTTGTGTAAAAAATGTTTCTTACCTTTCAATAAGATTCGTGTCGTAGACTATAAATGCGGAGAAATTGATACGACCTCACTTGTCATCTCACGTGATTTTTTTTCTCATAAAAATTCACACTCCTGCCTTTCAAATTTGGCCGACATCTTTGACTGTGGGCACCAATTTTGACCAAGGGACTGTTTTGACTCCATTAATGAAATCTACAACCAAAATTACGCAGGAAATGACATATCACTTGCCTTTATAAGTAAAAATTTTAAAAAATGCACCCTCCTGCCTTTCAAATCTGGCCACCATCTTAGATTGGGACAGTGAAAACATTTTATGATACTGTTTGAGAGAACCTACTAATGACGTTTACACGAGTTTCGATTACATTTTACATTGTTAATGGCGTTCTAACAATGATTTAACACGAAAATTCGGCAAAACCTAGCGAAATCAGGGTCCCCTGCCTCCCCCCCCCCCCCCCCCCCCCCCCC